GGGGGATGGGCAGGTGCACAACCAGGTGGACTCACAGGTGCGCTTACCGGGGGCAGAGGCGGAGGGAGCAGCCGGGTGGGGATGCCCCCCGCCAGGCATCCACAGGCCAGTGCCAGACCCTGCTGGTGGGCGGGCATCCTGGGAAACCCTCTCCCTGCCCATCAGCGCTCCTGCCCCATTGGGGCGCTACGTCCAGGCCACCAAGTAGCAAAGCAGAGCCAGGCCGAGGAAGGTCCCTCGAGGACGACGCAGTCCCCCCAGATGTCTGGATGCTGCAGGGACCGTAGTCGGGAGACAGCTGCGGAGGGGGACGGACCAGGTCCCCAACCCAGCCTTGCCCCCCCCACTCCGTCCTTGGGGCTCCGTCTCCCCACACACCAAACACCAGCGCCAAGCTAGGGGACGGGGACCCCGAGAGTTCCCAGACCTGGAGGGAGGGGGTCTGAGCGACAGAAGAGAGCCGACGGCCCCCCGTCGTGTCCACACGTGTACAGGAGACCACGTGATCCGTGGCTGGGAGACGGCGGCACCTTATCATCTACAATGCGGACCTGGCTCTCCTACGATGTCGGGGACAAGCCCAGGCCCCCCGGGCTGCCTGCCCAGATCCAACACGGGCGGCCACTGGGAGGCCCTCTGGGAGCCAACAGACTCTCCGTCCCTCTACACGGATCTGAACCCCGACACGGTGACCTCCCTGAATGCAGGTCACAGTCTGATTCATCCCCACCACCCCTTTCTTTAAAATTTAGTTTTACTTTTAGAGGAAGGGAGAGGGAGAGAGAAACATCGATGATGAGAATCCTGGATGGGCTGCCCCCTGCACGCTCCCTACAGGGGATCAAGCCCACACCCCGGGCCTGTGCCCTTGACCGGGAATCGAACTCTGACCTCCTGGTTCATCGGTCGACGCTCGACCACTGAGCCACGCCGGCCGGGCTGGTTCACCTTTTACCCCAGTGGTGAGTTCAGCGCTGGATAAGGGGTACACTCCCTGATGGTCTGTTGACTGAATGAATGACCGACCGACCGACCGACCGACCAACCGACCAAACGAATGAACAAACGAGTCACCCAGGCCCTGCGTGAAGTCCCCCCCAGGATCCCGGCACTCTGCCCCACGGGGCCACACACTCACTTCCAGGTCGGGCTGGCGAGGGGTCTCCCAGCAGACAAGCCTGGGGGGTGCCCAGAGCCCCAGTTGGTTGGATGACAATCTCGCCCGCCCCGCCCCCCCCCCCCCATCTGTTCGGTGGCGACCAGTGGCTCCCTCCACGTGGCGCACATCAGGAAGCGGTTACAGTGACAACGCGGCCGAGGTAAAAATAGAGACATAGTTTCCCCGTGACCACATGCTCGTGCGGAGGGTGTCGGGTGCCAGCGAGGCTCCCTTTCCGTGTCCCCGGCCGTGCCCGGCTCCCCCATGTGCCTGCTCCGGGCGGGAGGCGGTGGCTTCCTG